TTGAAACAATAATTAGGTACAATTTTTGCTTCTTAATATAATATATACATACATATATGTATATACATGCACAAATGTACATGTATATTGTAATAGCTATCATTGAGTGCTGAGAGAGGTGATCCCATGATCACGTTGAACTATTAGTAGGAGCATTTCAGCAATATGTGACAGTAAGTAGAATAATATGTATATCCTTTAGCCACTGATAAAAATTGTTTCAAAGAAAATATTTGTGAATGTGTTTAAGGACTTAGGTATGAAAATATTTGTTTGGCATATTGTTTTTTAATTTGGAAAAAATGGATAGCAACCTCAATTCTAACAGCAAACAATTACTGAAGTAATGCATTATTCATCTGTATGATAGAATACTGTATAACCATTAATAAGGTTGAAAAATACATAATGACTATAAAATATTGTCAACATATTATTGAAGAATAAGAAACTCTAATTATCTTAATAGCCCCATTTAGGAAAGCAGGAAAAACAGTCTCTAGAATTATTTTTGAGTGGTAGAATAATAGGGTCATATTAGTTTTTCTTCATTTCTCTCTTTAAAAAAAATTAGCATGTTACTTCAAGTGGTAATAAAGTGTTACCACTTTGGTATTTTATTCATGTAGTTAAAACTATATGAATATAAAATTACATATAAACTAAAATTAAAATATTTTAAACCCAGGAATTTTACTTGTTGCAATTATTATCTTAATCTCTAGGAATCTTAATTCCTTCAGGAGCTTGGCCTAGGGAAGGGAGGAATAAAATCAAAAGAAAAATGTAAAGCCTGATAATAGAGACACTGTCTTAAAAGAACTCACATTTCAAAATCTAGGTTTCAGGGAGAAGAAAAATCTTTTGAGTGTCAAAAGCTCAATGCTTCTGGGACTCAGGTCATGTATAGAAAATAATAAAGTAAGGAAAAATGCAAGCTGATGCACTTTTTTTCTGTGTAATCATACAACAAAAGTTTGGCCAGCTGGCAGTAAGATGATTGGAAGTGTACGTGACTAAAAGTTAGGCACCGGTGGGTCCCTGGGCAACAGCCCAGTGTTCCGCTCCCTAGGTACGTCTTGATGTCTTGACACAGTTGACGTCTTGACACAGTCTGACAATTGAAACTCAAGAGAGATCTTCACCTAGCTTTAAAAGTGTTGCCTGGATTACAAACCCCAGTGAAATGATCTGTGTCCAGAATGGTGCCTGGGTATTTGCAGTGAAAACATGAGATCTTTTGGCAGGTGGCCTGATGACAGACCCTTAAAGTCAAGTTCATTTAGGCAAACATGAAAACTTTTCAAATTTATTTCTTAGGAGGACACAATGAACTAGGTAGGACTGGCAACTGGAAAGCAAAGTGAGATGCTTACATTTCAAGGTGCATGTAAGGACAACAATTAAAAAACAAAGTATGAATTGTACAAAGTATGAATTGCACATCACATCAGAAAGGCAGGATGGGTAGATATCAATAACCATATAGACACTTGTCCCCAGAGGGCAATATAATATCAGAAGAAAACATGTAATCCTGGAAAAGTGGAAAGAATAATGGAGGGGAGAATTCCGAACTGCCCCAATATTTTCCTCAGAGAAAATGTGTTTCAGCTAGAAAAAAAAGTAACTGAGTTTATTTTACATTGGCAAGATGATATGTTTCACCACCAATGAAAATGGGGGCTAACAAGGTAAGTTCAGTTATGAGAAAAACGTTCAAAGCTACATTTTTCATTCCTGAGTCATATAAAATGCATACCTTTAAAGATAAATGATTATTTGTAATTCTACCTGAGGTCATGTTGAAATAATTCATTCGTATTTTAGAAGGTGAGAGGTAGATGATTTTCACTGAAGAGATACTCCAGTGCAGATACATTTTCTTTTGAATAACATTTACTTTCAGCCAAATGCTTAATGAGCATGTTTATGACTTTATTTTCCAAAGGTAAAAAGTGGCCTGATGGGAGGGGAAAGAAAATACCAAAATGATTTTTCTGAAGTGTTTTCATAATAATCACTTTTTCTTAAACATAAAAACACACTAATACGTTTTACTCTAAATACAGACAGGAAAACTGAAAACAAGATTATATAGCCAAGAGGAAATGGCATTACAAAATACTCTTACTGATTTTACCACATCACCTTTTAAATAAAAGCAATAGAAACAAATGTCAGGAATGTGTTTTCAAGAATGAGATTTTGCTTGTGGTATTTCATGCTGGCTCTGAATAACCTCCAAATAAAATTAAAGAAGACATTTATTTGTTCCTATAATAATAAAATGTTTGCATGTCTCCTATTTAATAATGTTGTCATGCTAGCTTTTGTTTAGTTTTCCTTAAATCTTTCTATTTGGAAATAATTTCAAACTATAGGAAAGACAAAAAAAAAAAAAAATACAACGAATACCTGTATATGCTTTACCCAGATTTACCTAGTATTGCTTATTTTTATTAACACTTAAGAGTACTGGGATTACAGATGTGAGCCATTGCGCCTGGCCCATATTGCTTTTGATTTGGGATCTTTGCATCTATGTTTACAAGTGATTTAGGCCTATAATTTTCATCTTTGGTACTGTGAGTGTCTGGTTTTGGTATCAAAATAAATAAGCTTCATAAAATGAAAAAAAAAAAGATTTTTTTTTTTAACATTGTGAGCTTTTTTTTATCAAAAGTTAGTTTTACTGTATTGTTCTGTGTTGGTTTATAGGCAGCATCTCAGTCTCCCACAGCTTTGAGGGTTCGATAGCTTCTGCCTGGCCATGGAAGTCTTCTTAGGGCAATAGGGGCCAACCTTCCTTTCTTTTGCATCCTATGAGAAGCCACATCACTTGCTGTGGAGAAGAGTCAATGAAGCTCTTAACTTGTAGCTGATGAATACATTTTTTAAATTAATAAAGGTGTGGGCAAACAAGTCAATATTGGTGTATATTGTAAAAGTGAAAAACCCATTCTCCAACTGTATGTCCCTTTCTTCAACTAAGAGTGTCTTGTCTTTTCAGAAATATTCTGAGTACAGTATGTACAAAGCTATATAGCCATAGCTACAGTAATAGGTGTATAGATACAGACAGATATACATCTGTTTCTTAAATTAAAGATATAAATACAGAAATCTTTTTCCATATTTGTAATAATGATATTAGACCCTACACATACTCTTCTATGGCTTGCTCTTTCCATGTAATAATATATCTGAATTAGTTTGTGATATGAGTTCATATAAATGTGCTTCAGTCTTTTTAAAGGTTGCATAATATGTCATTGTATGAGAATACCATAATTTTTAAATCTATACTTTAAATGATTTTTTTTAAAAAAAGTTTCACTGTTGCAAATCTAAGATTTTTATTTTCCTTTTGTGAGAAATTTCCTGTAAGATAACTTTCCAGGAGGTTACTTTTGCATTTAAATTGGGATAAGAACTTTGATAATTATCATTTGAATTTTCTTGTCTTTGGTGCATTTAGTAATGTTTGCAGAAGGAAGGAAGGGAGAGAGGAAGGAAGAGGAAAAGAAGAAAGTCAAGTAGGCTAGTTTTTTGGAACAGTGGTTCCTTACATGAGTGAAAGAGGACAGGGAAATTCCTGTCAAGATTATGATAGACTTTTCTTACCAATTTTCTGTTGTGAACTTTTTATGTCTTTCAGCGGGAAGCCAAAGTATTACTTTCTCTGGAAGAGTATAGCAAATAGAATCTGAAATAATATTTTTATTGTATGGTCCTGTGGCACCCGAAATTTCTTCATTGCACCTGAAATTTTTCTCAATATCTATCTCCTTAGATAAGAAACAGGAAGTACTATAGAGTCTTGTTTATTCATGTATTTTCTACTTCATAAAGGTAACTGGATGCTCAGCCTTTCTTAAAAGCAAAAAGTAGGGTGTGGAGAAAAAGAGAGAAAGTGGCAGAGACATCCAGTGAGACAGACAGAAAGAGACCACGAGAGAGAGAGAAAGGAAGAGAAAGTATGAAAAAGAAGGAGGAGACATACAGGTGAGACAGACAGACAGACACACACACACACACACACACACACACACACACACACACACACAGAGAGAGAGAGAGAGAGAGAGAGAGAGAGACAGAGACAGAGACAGAGACAGAGACAGAGAGAGAGAGAGAAAGTAGCAACAGGAAGGAGGAATGAAGAAGGGAGGAAAGGAGGGAGGCAAGAAATTGATGATGCCAGGGGTTAGAGGTGTAAACATCAGAGAATTAGGTAGAAAATGAAATGTAAGGCAGAAAAAAAGGAGAAAACACCAAGATGTAAGAATTCAACATTTTTCTACTTCAGAAACTAGAGAAACATTGTGTTATTTTCCATAAAGTCAAAGAAGTCGACAATGATAGCTCAGCTTCTGGGTGCAGACGGAAAGCTATGTGCATTGGAAGGGCATGATTCAGAATAAAAAGGATTGTTTCGAGGGCTTGTATTATAATTTAGGTTCTGCAAGGAGAACTGGGAAATGTGTCATTGCAAAGGCGAATCACTTGCTTTCCATTTCTTAATGCTGTGGGAATATAAATTTAATTATGGTCATGAATCTTTCATAGCGGGGCCAGCTTGGAAATTACATTGAACTAGGAGCCTATGTATTGTAACAAGGTGAAGGTTACATGAAGTAATTTTGCTTAATTTTGTTTTAGATTAGAATGTAGGATAGTGGAAACATTTAGAAAGCATTTTCTAGCCAAAGTTTCTTTTTAATTTTACTACATTACAATTGTATATGCAAATATGTGTGTGTGTATATATACACACATACTTACCTGTACAATTATAATGTATGGGGATATTCATGTCAAAGATATGTGCTGTTTTAATTTTTATACCATTCACAAGTGTTATTGAGCCTAAGTAATTAGGAAATAGATAAGTGGTTCCAACAGTACCAGAGGGTGGGGTTCAAGCTATCCTTTAGATAGATTTGCTCACATGTGGAATACACCTCACTTGGATTTCCCCTCTTAATTTATTCAAGCTAAATCAACAAGAGGTCAATGCTGCTCATACCTTGAAGAAGCAACTGGCAGCAAGTACTGCTTATGGAAAAGTTTCCTTTACAAGTTAGAAAAACATTTTGGCTTCATCCTACGTATATGCTCCTCTCCAAGTTCTATTGCTACTGTTTTCCGAATTACTCACCGGCTTGATGAATGGCAGTCACAAGTAGTGCTTTTATTGCAATGTACAGATGTTGATATTTTCCATAATTTTCTTAAATGGAAGGCTTTCATTTTGAAAAAAACTCATTTAAGATTTAATGAAGGAACTTAGATTTTCACTTAAAGGAATCCATACAACTCTTACATTTTAAAATCTTATTTTTTAAAAGAAAGTTTGTTTAAATAACCTGTTGTCTTTGGCATTGATAGAAAGCAGATGTAACCAATGGGATGAAGCCAGGAGGCTTAATGGGTAATAATAGAGTTAGAAACAGAATAATCATGTAAGGGTCAGAAATGGGTTAGAATTCTTGTGTAAAACTGGGTTAAGCTGACTCTGTGTGTGTGTGTGTGTGTGTGTGTGTGTGTGTGTGTGTGTGTGCGTGTATCTTCATGTGCACAGAGAAAGAGACAGAGGGGATTATTAAAAGGAGAAGAAAAAAGAAAATGTTACATGAAAACATTTTGTGATAAAATACAATTCTAAAAATAACTTGGGATGGCCTACATTTAAATTTATTGTATTTGGTATTTTATATTCACATAGTGTTTGAGACTGTTAAGTCAGGACTTATAACTCAATATAAAGGAATGTATAAATCAATTTTTTGGAAAAGTTTCCAAGGGCTTTATTGTATATATATTTACTATTTGATTACTTTCCTGTATCCAGAAATGTAAAATGCTTTTAAAAAATAAGTATATGTTGGGTTAAACAATGTGACTTTGTAAATAAGTAGGACTATTGCCTTGTGTGTAATTAAGCTAGCAAAACTTCACAGTGAAATCAAAATAATATTCATGGTTGTTAGGAGCTTCTTTCTGTGATATTATTTAGTTAAGGAATCTTGATAACTATGTCATGCTGTTCCTACAAATAATTTCCAAGGTTGGAAACTATGTAGTGAGAGAAGGAAGCTATTTGGTAGGAGAAGGATATCCTTTTAGAAATGTTTCAAGGTTTAGTTTATAGGGTTTATTTATTAAAGTGTAAAGGTTATTTAGATATGTCTCTTTATGTTGGATTTTATCAATAGAATATTTATTTAATATCATATAATTTTAAGTAGTTGAGAGTAATAAATGCTAATGTTATTTTTTATTTCTTGTTTATTTTTGGAAAGAGCCGAAGTAATAATGGAACATATAATGATTTTTTTCATGGCACAATTAATGTGTACCACTTTTCCTATTTTTTGTTTATTTAACATTTGTAGAATTTCTTATAATTACTATTTTATGTGTAACTGTGCTTTGGTAGTTCTCTAGTAATATATAGTTTGTCTATATTTGCATGTTTATATGCTACATTCTGTAAGTTTTTGTGTTCATATCCCTGTGCCTACTAATGAATTTTGTCCAGGAAAATAATTGTGAGTAGTCTATAAATGACCCTCAAAGTGATATAGTGAAAAGAAGCTAAAAATTCTAGACTATGTTTGAACAAACCAAATGCACTTTAGTAGGCCCATCTTCATGCAGATTATATCTGGGCATATTTTTACCCACAGGCCATTTCTTCTTAAGACCTTCTAAAAGGCTGAATAATGCTTATTCCTGTCTATAGATTTGCAGAAAATTTGCCTACTTATTTTATTTTTATACTTTATAAAGTAGTTCTAAGTAATTTATTAATTGAAGAGATTCTGGTTCCCTCTTGTCTCTCCTCTTTCTGATCACTTTAACAATCTTTTTAATTTAACAGGTGCTTTAGAAAAAGAAAAAAAAAATGACACCAGTGAGATATGGACAGAATTGGGAGTCTGCTCTATTATTAAAAGATAGTGCATTGATTTCACTGGAGTGAATATTACTGGACCCACCAGCACTCCCAGTGTTCCCCAGCCCCTAACCTGGCCTTAGTACTGAAGTGGTGACAGATACAGGTGAGGGGAAGGAAGGCAGCAAACCACACTGCCATGTGTGTACCTATGCAACAATCTTGCATGTTCTTCACATGTACCCCAAAACCTAAAATGCAATTAAAAAAAAAAAAGAAAACAAGAGCAAACTCTAACAAAATGGTATGCAAATTTAGTACCTACAGAGAAATAGCCACTTCATGTTTGTGTCTCCCATTCTATCTTCTGCCTTTCCTAGGTCACTGTCACATTCTTTCTCAGGTTATAGTAATTCACATTTTATCTTCTCTATTTTACAACCTTAATTTTCTGAAACTCAGTTTCTTAGCTCAGCATCTTAAAAATAATAGTACAGAATGTATGTTAGTTTAGTTAGTGTCATTTAAAGAACTTTTAGAAAAAGTTTTCATCAAAATGGACCTAAAGCTAAACAGTGCCTTGAGACATTATTTTTGATACCATAAAGTCTACAAAGTTCCTTTCTAGATGCAAACCTATCGATTCTATTCAATGATAATAATAAAGGCTTTTTATACCCAGATGGCTATCTCAAATCTTCTCATCAGCCCAGCAAGTTAGTGGTAGGAGGGTTTCACCAGTCATGGCTATATTGCTTTGGGAGGGTGATAACCGTTATGCTATTATCAGTTGTGGGATGAGCTGGTCACCCTGTAAGTTTCTTTCAGTTGTTCTATCAGGCCTCCAAAAGTAAATGCAAATAAACGGGTTCCAAACCCCTTTAGAGCACACTGTAAATCTTTGTAACTTCATGGCCAAATGGTAAACCACAGGACCACATGGCTCAATTCCCTTGAGACAGTCATGTTATTCCTGTCAGACTTTTCTTCCCTCATTCATCAGCTGGAAGCTTTCATCTCCTTTTAAAGCCATGGCCTTTCAAGTAGGGGTGAAATTACACCTGTCAGTAATAAATGTTCCCAGTGCTCTCTGTCATTCTGTCATTTCACAAAAGATATTAAAAGGAAGCATAGCTTATTCCACATTCAGTTAGCACGATGTTTTTTCTCTCTACTTTTAGATACCTTCCTGTTATGTAATTGTTGAGAAAGTTTTAAAATGTTCACTAAATCAAGGACATGTGGGAATGCTGGGGAAATTAGCTTCTATGTGAACTGTATGTTATATTCAATAACTACTTTAAACTTATTTGACAGAATGATTTAACTATATACACAATCTACAACGGCAATCTAAATGTGCCCTTTAGCACACTTGTTCTGTTTATTTTTTCTAAGTTACACTCTGATAACTTTGTGGTTGCCCATAATACCATACAGCAGGTGCACCTGTGTAGTCACCATTTTATTTACATAGAGAACCAAGTTAATGTTTTATCAAATCCAGGCCACACCTGGGTTGGGACACATGTAGGAAGCAGGATTCAAGTCAAAATTGCATATGCTTTTAGCCTGATATTTGAACTCCACTGAGTAAACTCTTTTGAGTGTTCTTGGAAGTTTTGAGGACTTGGTCTCTTTACTGTCTGTTAACCAAAGGAGGAAATGGGAGCTGGAAGACTGAATACACTAATTGTAAACCCTGCCACTCACTGTGGTAGGTCTTGACTCAAGAAATAAGAATAACTGAATTGTGTCATTATAGCCCACACCATACATACACTGTCCCAGGCAGATAATTCTTCAAGTACAAGTGAATTTGGCTTGATGTACCTGAGTGTGAGGGCACATATATATTTTTGTCAGTTTTCTAATGCTAAACCAGATTAATAAATAAATGCAGTGTGAAATTTGCAAATCACCAATGAAGGCCATGCTCTAAAGCTTTGTTGTTTTATTTTATCTCTCATAGGGAAAGCATGTGCCATTTTTTTGTAGATTAGTGATACTGCAAAGAATTCATGAAATCACATAATCTCTCAGAATTATTAGCAAGCCATCATGTTTTATTTTTTCCAGAACACAGAGGAAGTATATAATTTCTCTATTTTTATACTCTATTTCTTACCTTCTGTCTTTTCTTATCTCCTTCCTCTTCAGGAGAAAAATAAAATAGTAAACTGAAAAACAGACCCTAAAACTCAGTGAGAGGGATAGATTGACTCAATTTGTCACTAAACTAAACAAAAATGATCTCAAAGCACAATGTTGATCTAATTTCTCTGTAAATGGTTATACGTTCATCATTATAGAGTTTTTTTTTTCTATCAAATGGGTTTTGGCATATTACTAGAGTTTGATGAGACAAAACCTATAGCATATATTTCAAGCCTAATCAATTAGTAACCTTATTTGTAGAAACACCCCACCCATATATAGGGCTGAAAATAAATTACTATTATTTAAAATTATGTTTTGTGAATTTTCTGTAACTATGTAAATAAAGGATTTGAGAAGTTGAATTATTTCTTTTTGTATACCCAAATTATCCTTATATTAAATAATTTTCTGTAGTTTAATTTAAAGTATTCCAATAATACTCCAACCTTAAATAGAGATTGAACTTAACACCCTCAACTCTGAATTAATTACATAGTTTTAAATTAATTAAGTAGTTCAGAATGCCTTTGAACTCTGAATTAAGTACATCATTTTAAATTAATTAAGTAGTTCAAACCCTAACATTGTGGCCTTAGGCACTCACTTTCATTTAGCATGTGTCTTAACAAGCTTGATTGTTTAATCACCTTCTAAAGATAAAAATACATCAAACTAAAAGAACCAAGCCTTGCAGTTTTGAGAATTGCAAGACTAACAGCCTAAGACAGACAGGAAATATAACAATGACGTACTGGACATGTCATGAGGTTCTTTCATTTTGATTACACATTTGATTCCCCACAATCCTACATAAGATATGCAACATTTCACAAATAAGTAAGCAAGCTATAGAGAGCTATGCAGTTTTCCCAAGGCAGGTAATTGGCAGATTTGAGATGTTAACTCAAGATATTTTATCTTAACTCAGTGGCAAATGTCATAAGTCACCGGTACCAGCTTAAATATTTTCTAGTATATTCTGTTTGT